CCCCAAAACCCCAAAACCCCAAAACCCCAAAACCCCTATGTTTTTAAGTTTTTTGATAAAATTTAAAGTTATTTGAATAAAATGGACGAGACAGAGCAAGCTAAGACTGGAGCTCCCTTGCGAAGTAGAACTCATGTGACGGTATACATCGAATACTGTATCAACTGTGAGAGCCACCAGTGGTGCACAAACCACAAATCTGATAAATACCTTGGGTATTTAAACAGAGTTAAGAGAGCAATCAACGAAGTTGTTCCTGAATGATCTATAATAGAGAATGACTTGCCTCCAGAGAAATCCGATCGGATAATTAAAACATACAACAGCGTCACTTGTGATACTGTCATGAAATATAAGTCTAAATAAAGGCGTCAAATCTAGCTTCCCCCGGGTCGGGGCTTTTGAGGTTTATATTAAGCAACTAAATTGATTTTCAAAACTCAAAAGTGGAATGTGGCCCAATGCTGACAAACTAGCAACAAAGATCAGAGCAATCGTTGATAATTTAGCAGAAGGAAAATCCATGCTCGCCGATATCGAGCACAAAGACATGAGTGAAAGTGAGCCTGAAGAGGTACCCAGAGAGTTGCCTAACCCAAAATCCTCCTTTGTGATCCCTAAAGTACAGAGAAAGCTTGTTAAAAAGAAGAAGAAGCCAAAGAAATTTAGAAGAAATAATCGAGAATTCGTCAACAAAACTGCTTATCAGATGTCTGATTCAAGCCAAGACAGGCTCGAGTCTAAAGGCCTCAAAGATCAGAAGGAAAAAGCTCAATCTGAAGATGAATATGAAAATGATTTTGATGATGATGGTGATAAGGACCAAGATAGCGATGAATATGGAGATGACGAAGATTTTGAAGGAGAGGCTCTTCAAGAAGAGAAAAAGACTCCTCAAAAAGACAAGGTTAAAGCCACTCCCAAGAAGAAAATTAGGGTTAAAAATGCTACAAATAAAGCAAGCAGGGCAACTTATAATACAAAGAGGCCTTCTCTGACAAATCGGAATCAATTTGATATTACAGCTACTAAATATTCGAATAAATCGAAAAGATCTAAGGTAGCTTTGTTTAATGCAAGCGTACCACGAGATAGTAAATATAAGAGAGAAAGAGCTTTCAGGAATAGGTCCCAGATTAAGCATTACCAAAATCTGAATAGGTCAGCACATGCAGGGAAGAAATCAAGACCTCGCACCTTTGGAAATAAGTCTCATTTATATAGCTCAGATCATGCAAATTCTTTTACAAATTTGCATGGAATTGGACGTCCTAAGAAGAGGTTTAAATCAAGTCAGAGACAAAGAAGGCCTTTGAGTAGTAGGAGAGTTGATAGAAAGCCCAAGGAACAAGAGGTGCTCATTACCAAGACTTATGATCTTTGACTGAGTATAAATAAGGATGGAGAGAATCCCTCCTCAACTATCAGCAAGAAAATATCATACATCAATAAAGACGATCAAGAATGAATATTCACTGTCAAAAGTTCTCACCCAGATCAAATGACATTTAAGAATGATGAAATTATTGTAGGAGCAGGGGAGAAAGCTAAGTTTGGTATTAGATTCAAAATGGTTGATGAGCCTAAACTGGCCCAATACGTTCTGTTTCTTAGTAAAGACGGACATCCCCATGAAAATATTCTCCTAAATGTCAAGTATGAATAGGACTTCGCAAATTTAACATTAATATTCAACAATCTGTAAAGAGAATGGGGTTTTGGGGTTTTGGGGTTTTGGGGTTTTGGGG